CTGTAAACAGATTTGATGAAGTTTGGGCTGAAGTCATCGCTTCGTGAGGGAGCGTTGCGAAAAATTGTGCTGACTAAAATGATAAAAAAATAATAGTAATGATAATAATAGTAACAATGATAATAATAAAAAATAGTAATAGTAGTAGTAGTAGCAGTAGTAGTAGTAGTAGTAGTAGTAGTAGTAGTAGAAGTAGTAGTAGTAGTAGTAGTAGTAGTAGTAATAATAATAATAACAATAATAATAATAATAATGATAATAATAATAATTATTATAATAATAATAATAATAATAATAATAATAATAATAATAATAATGACAGATAAATGCTAAGAATTAAAAGGGAAAAGAAAAAGAAAAGAAAGAGAAAATGGAAAGGGAAATGAAGTGGAAAAAAGTGAAAAAAACGGGGAAAAGAACAAGAAAAAAAAAGCGATAAAAGTAAAGAAAAAGAAAACCAGACATAAACATAATCAAAGACAAACTAAATAATTTTAATGTGAGTTGTCAGAGAGTTAAGAAAAAAATATATATATATCGTGTACAAATGTTGCAAACCAGAATGCAACAACGGAAACGAAGCCGCACTCGTTGGCAGAGATTAATGACAATTCTAGATAATGGATTTTTTTACTAATGTCGACATTATTTTATTCCAAGTACGATGACAGTAACGACCCTAACAAGCTCAGCAACGTGAGAATAAAGGAAAAAAAATATTGCAACAGTAACAACATATGCAAATCATATTGATGATAAGGATACCGCAGTTGTAATGAACTTAACTATAATACTAATTATAGTAGTTGATTTAGTACACGTATTATATTATAATTACATGAAATAACAATAATATATTGGAAATTACAATTAGTGTAAACACTGTTGTTCTGACAATAACTACCGTGGCAATATTCACAATACTAATAACAAAATTGGTACCAACAGCAGCAGAAACACAGCAAGAACCGAATAAACTTGATATTTGAGAAAAATAAGAATAGAGAAAATAAAGAGGATAATCATAATGATAATGCTGTTAATAATAATAGATGGTAATGATGATGCAGAAAACAGTAGCATTAATGTAGAAAAGGTATAAGTAAGAATGACTATCTTCACAATACAAAGGGATGTATTTGACCGGTTTCGATTATATCTTCGTCAGAAATACATATATTTTCTGAAGAAGATATAACCGAAACCTTTTCTTCATACCTTTTCTACACTTGTCAACATAAATACGTTTCTGTAGAACGAGTGGCACTGATATCATAGCTATGGCAATAAACTTACAGATGATAATTAAAGTAAAAGTTATAACCACTTTTGTTCCTAATAAGAACAATAACAATGAAATCAACAGCAATAACAGTTAATAATAGCAGGCAATAACAGTAAAACAGCAAAAAGAAGATATTCGCTAAGCCTTATCCACATTTTCTTTCGTATTCTTTCATTTGTTAAATACAATTCCTCTTTTTACTTCTCCTTTTATTCTTCTTTTTTTCATCTGCAGTTTAAAAGTGACGTATTTTAGTTTCAAATTACTTTTCGAAAAGGGGTATATTTGGACACGCGTAGATTGATGTCATTGGGTTCCGTTTTCTGTGCAATCTATGATACGTCTAACCTTGTTAAGAAAACGGTGTTGCTTAAATACTCGAATGCGGGCACCCGGATAGCATTACGTGACCTATTGTTTGTCGATAGCATTAGGGCCTTTATTCTCTTTCTTTTTATGCTCTCTCTTTCTCGTTCTCTCTCTCTCTCTCTCTCTCTCTCTCTCTCTCTCCCTCTCTCTCTCTCTCTCTCTCACACACACACACACACACACACACACACACACACACACACACACACACACACACACACACACACGCACGCACACACACGCACACACACACACATATATATATTATACACACACACACACACACACACACACACACACACACACACACACACAGATATATATAGTATATATATACACACACACAAATCCTCCCTCCTCTATTTCCTTTTGTGTAGCACTCTCTCCGCCTCTCTCCCTCTCTCCGTTTCTGCATGTTACTTAAACAACCTCTGTTCTAGTACGTCAGATACAAATACAAAGCTGACATAAAACTGACGAAGCTTGGCTCAATCTGCCTCCCTAATCCCAATCCAAGACAACAAGTGACTGGATGGTTGATACAGTTAATTAATTTTAAGAAAAGTATTTATGGCTACGAGGAGGAGGAGATAGCGGTGGGAGGGAGAGGGAAGAATGAGGGAGAAGAGAGGGAGAAGACTAAGAGGAAGAGGTAAAAGGAGAGGAACGTAAGAAAGGTTGGAAAAAAAGAGAAAGGCGGAGAAGAAAGATCAAAAGATAATAGGTAGAAGGGAAGAAGGAAGTAGAAGGAAAGACGGAAAGACAAAGGGGAAAATAAAGAAGAAATGAAACCAAGACAAGAATGAGATAAAACAAAAGGGCGGAAAAAACAGGAGGAAAACAAAC